TTTTTTTTTTTTTTTCTGTTTTAGTTAGAGACAGGGTTTTGCTGAGTTGCTTAGGACCTCTCTAAGTTGCTGAGGCTGGCTTTGAACTTGTGATCCTCCTGCCTCAGCCTCCCAAGCTGCTGGGATTACTGGCACCATGCCAGCTACGATTGAGGTTTTATCTACATTATTTGTTGCTGTTTTCTTCATAAACTATTTTAAAAATTATTTTGTTATTTTAAAAAGACAATAAATGGGCTGTATTTTCTTCTTCTTCTTCCAATATCAGTTACAAAGGAAAGGCAACTCAGACTCTAGGACTGAAAAAAGTCTGCTGGACATTCTGAAGTGTAGACCATTAGAGGTAAGGAGGCCTTTTCCTCCCTGTCCAGATGCTCTTTTGTGCCCTTTCAGTAGTCAGCATTTCCAAGGGCAGAACTCTAGGGCCTGCTGACAGTGGCTTCCTCTCTACCCACTGCTTGGCCTCTCCCCTGTGGAGATGAGCACAGCAGGAGATGCAAGTGGTGCTGACAGCTGCTAGGACTGGGTGATTGAAATAACAGCCAGTGGATTCATACAGATGAATGGGCTTTCCTGGTATTGTAAGTACTGAGAATTGGTGCCCAAAAGGTAGGATTAGATGACTTTAGAACATTTAGTACATGAGTCACTCTCTGAGACTGATTTTTTTTTCTTTATTATAAGAACAACTAAGAATCTCTTGTCAAATATTTAGTTCTATGATGCTTTTGTAGGAGTTTCATTTCTTAGTATGAAAAAAATATCAGGACATGTGGGTGGCATTTTGGAAACTTGATGATCTCACATAAATGAGGAGACATTTTCTTTCCTCAGGAGACCTGAGTAGAATAGTGGGCTTTGGGATGGTGATTTACGGATGCAGTTATTTGAAAATTCAATTAATATGAAAATCATTTATCATTTCTTTATTTTTATTTCTACAAGATAAGATTACCTTATAGCTAATATAAGAATATTTTTATGTAGTCAACAGAATCCTTTTACTTAAGGTATCAAGTTTTCATGCAATGACCTTTAGCTTCATTTTAAAGCAAAAAGAAATGTATTCTCTAAAACAGGTTAACTTTATTATAAGGCCCTGCATTAAAAACTTCTTTTTCATACTTGGATAATATATCGTGATGTTCATTATATGATATTTACAAGTTTGTTCTATATTGTTATATGAATCATTTAGCTAAACTTTAACTTGTACCAATTAAATATTTTTGCTTTGAATATTGGTGGATATGATTTTTTTTCTATCAACTAAGATGGTAGGTGGTGGCAATGACATTTTGGTGGAAGTTATATTGTGAATACTTTAAAAAAATGCTTTTTCATGTTGAAATACGTAATTTAGGCATGTTAGTGTTCTGCCTGTTGTTATTAATTAAATACAGCAATCACAGTTTTCATCAATGGTTCTTAACTTTGACTTTCCATTAGAATCACATAGGGAGCTTTGGAAAATCCATATGCCCAAGGCATTATCTTCAATGTAGATATCACAATATCTATATTTTAAAAAGGAATTTTAATGTTGACACCTGAGTACTTGAAGTTGAATATTTCCTTTATTTGACTAAAATGATTTTAATTCTTATTATTTTCTGACATTTATTGTGTGATTTTGAGAAAATCTCTTAGCCCTATTTTCCTTAGATGAACCTTATTTATCTCTCATAATCAGTATTTTGATTAGGTGAGATGAGTATCTGAAGAGATTTTTTAAAAATGATATGTTCATATACACATGAAATACTGTAATAATTATTTTCTGTTAAATAAGATTTCCTATAAATACTGAGAGATATCCTGAGAATTTTCTTTGTTTTAAATTTGACAAAATCATATCTATCCTTGGCTGCATAGGTCAAGAAAATTGTGGCTCCTCTAGTAGGTTTGCCTCTTGACTCTTACAACTAAATCTTCAATTTCAAGTAACACTTTAAGGAAGAGTTGATATAACTAATTTTTTTTTCTGGTTTGGAAATGTCTACAAACAGCTGGCCTGGGAATCTTGAGTGTCTGGGGTAATATTTCAAAGAAGCAGTACAGAAAAATCAACATGTAATGGGGAGAACCTGATACGGATAAAGAGAAGGAGGAGAAAAAGGAACAGGAGATAACAGAAAGCAAAACAAAAATCAATAAATATGTATAGAAAGCATAGGAGGATAGTATCCTTGCTTTTGTGGAAGGGAAAATTAAATTGAGGTGAGGCGGTTAGATAACAAGAACAGTACAAGTGTTTGGGCCAGAGAAATATCAGATTGGATTCTGGTTCAGCAATCTACTCACTACATGAACTTGGGTAGATTATTAATTGCTGTGTACTGTAATTTCCTCACATATGATAACCTGGCATGGCCCCACACCCATGGTTAGTATTCTAAAAATATAAGCCAATATTTTTGAACCTAAAGTTAGAATGTAATTGTCAGAGAAGAAGGTGTTGAGTTATTAGAGAGCAGTAAACAAGGTCTTGGGTAGATATGTACTGTCTATACAATTGAGAATGCACTAATGAATAATAAATGAGAATTTATAAGAGTAGTGCATTAGCTTTATGTTTACTGTTGCCAAAAATACCCAACAAGAACAACTTAGAGGAGGAAAAGTTTGTTTGGGCTCTTGGTTTCAGAGGTTAGTCCATGGTAGGCTGACTCCATTTCTCTGGGTCCAAGGTGAGGCAGAATGTATTGGTGGAGGGGCATGGTGGGCGAGACTGCTCCATTCATGGCATCCAGGAAGCACAGAGAGAAAGGGTTGGGGGCTACAGGGAAGATGCTTCCTTCTAGGGCATAGCCCCAATGACTCACCTTCTTCAGTCACATCCCACTTGCCAACAGTTACCACCCAGTTAGTCCATTCAAACTAACTTTCATAATCTAACCATTTTACCTCAAATATTCCTGTATTAACAGGAGATTTGGGGGAACATCTCATATTAAAACCATAACAAGTAGATATATTAAGTCATTAGAAATTGAAATGGTCCCACACCCATGGTTAGTATTCCAAAAATATAAGCCAATATTTTTGTACCTAAAGTTAGAATGTAATTGTCAGAAAAGAAGGTGTTGAGTTATTAGATAGCAGTAAATCATAATTATAGGTTTTTATTCAATTTGAGTGGATGGTGATTATATAATTGCAATTACTTTAAAGCTTCAGAGAACCTTAGAGGTTACCATTCCATGGCCCTCATTTATTTTTTTCTTTTTAGTTATACATGACAGTAGGGTCTATTATTCCAGTCTTATGGCTGTATGCGAGGTTGAGATTTACTGTGGTGTATTCATATACGTAGACAGAAAAGTTATATCCGTTTCATTCCACCGTCTTTCCTATTCCTATCTCCTGTCCTTTTCCTTTAGTCCTCTTTGTTTAATCCACTTAACTTCTATTCTCCCTCCCCACCTTATTGTGTGTTAGCAAACACATATCAGAAAGAATATATGACCTTTGGTTTTTTGAAATTGGCTTAATACACTCGGTATCACAGTCTCCAGATCACAGTCTCCACTTACTAATAAATGTCATAAAGTCATTCTTTATGGAAGAGTAATATTTCATTGTGTATATAATACCACAATTTCTTTATCTATCCATCTCTTGAGAAGGGTAACTAGGTTGGCTTCATAGCTTGACTATTGTGAATTGAGCTGCTATGAACATTGATGTAGCTGTGTCAGTGTAGTATGCTGATTTTAACTCTTGATATATACTGAGGAGTGGTACAACTGAACTAGGTCAAATGGTGGTTCCATTCTTAGTTTTTTGAGGAATCTCCATAATGCTTTCTGGCACTCATTTCACCAGGGTACTTGCCAAATAATAAATCTGAGCAATAGGATATGACAATCTATTTGATATTCTAGGAGATCTTTGTGGGGTCTTGGTGCAAGACATGGATCTGGTTGAAGCTATCGTCTTGGTGAAAATCCACACATATTTAGAAAGACATATTATGGTAGACTAGGGCAGTTGTGCTTAGTTGATACTGCTCTTTAAATCTTGCAGAAAAAGGATTTAGTGGATCACAAAATCTCCAATCCTGTCGAGAAAGTTCAGTAAAAATAGCTATTGGAGAAATTATGGTCATTCATCATAATGATTATAATTTTCAAGGTCAGAGATATATAACCCCTCACCCCAGGTTTACTAATCTTATATGTGCTCAGGAAAGCTACTGTGTCTCTAGCATGCTCAGGGACATCTCCACAATTTTCCTTTCTCTTCTGGGTGCAGACTAGCATGGTTCCTGTCAAGTCATCCTCTCCCTCATGTTCATTTCTAGGATTGATGCTCTTGCCTGTGTTTAGGTTTTGTGCCCTCTAAGTGATAATCTTATTCATTTGTATTCCTTTCTGCTATAGAAACCATGAAGCAGCACTCTCTTGGATGTTTAATAACTTTGGACCCAGATCTTATACATTTCCTGTTTTCTTTCTCTGGTTTTTGACAAGTACTATCAGCAGAAGAATTCAGACCAGAGAACACCAGGAGCACAGTGTCATCACCTGAAGCTCTGCTGCTTTTTGATGTGGACTCACATACTCAAACCAGGTTTGAACTCCCTTTTGTTTTAAGGTAATTTCCCTCTAGGGAAGTTTTGGTTCTCTTTCTCAGAAAGCAAAAATAAACAAAAATCCTTGCTGGAGTCTTTCCTCCATAACATCTTTTATATTTTAGATTCTTAGACATTTTCTTTTAGAGTCTTAGACATTTAAATTCTAAGATGATTGAAATCTAAGCATTTCTAATTAACTAGTTAATTATTAGTTAATTACAATTAATAGTGAACGTTTGACAGTTTTGAGTTAAAGAAGGTCTTTGCACAATGACACACTCTAACAGTAATTGTGCATCAAAAATTGTTTGACAAATCCCTTTATAGAAACATTTTCCAACACTGAAAAAGTTACCCCAACCAAGTTCTCCTGGATCCTGGGTGAGAAAGAAGAGGAGAATGCTTCTGAAGGTGAAAAGTGTAAATTAAACCTCTAAATTATGAACACAATGGAACATCTATACGATTATAGAAGTTTTCACATGTCAATAACCTAAATGTTTAGCAATGAAGTTTAAATAACAAGCTGTTTACTTCCCAAGAGCAGTTTCTGTACTATGATTTGGAAAATTCTTGTTTGCTATGTGCCGCTTTATTGATAAATGCAATTCAACTTTCCCTCAGTGAGAAAGTAAGGCATTAGACATCTGGGAGACACAGAGCAATGAGCAAGTCTCCAAATTTTAATGGGAGCAATGCCATTTTTCCTAGAATCATTAAATTTCTTATCTTGAGAATGCATGCGTGCTAACTAGCCCTTTTGTATTTCATTCAAATCCATCAGTTTTGAGATGCGGCTGCACTCCATTCTAACAGATGAAAACCATGGGTTCTTTATTGAGAAGAAAACCACGTCTCTTTAGTGTCAGATCATGCCATGTCATTGTAGAGTAGATTTCACATTCACTGCTTCAACTTTTGTAAGGTGAATGATCAAAGCCAAGTTTGTGTAGAAATCATTTAGATGGTTATGAACCCATAAAAAAAAGCAGTGAGCTTGTTTGCTTTTTAATCACTGAACTTTCACATTAAAGCTGGGCTGCTGTGGGTGGCATATTTTTCACAGCATCCTCAATTTGTCTGCAAAATGGATTGGGCCAGAGGGCCCTACTTTACCAGACTGTCTTTTTGCTTTAGAGATAACGCTACTTAGTAAAATTAATGTAATGAGCATTAGGTTTCGTTTGCCTTTCCTTGAGATATTTGTCTAGGATAGGGAGTGGTGTTTTCTTACTCTGATTTCATATATTGTGTATATTTAGAGCTCAAAGAAAGCTTGATTCTTTTCCTCCTTCCTTGCCCTCCTTGGTTATCATCTATTCTCATCACCTCATTCACCAATGGAGGAAATGAGCCTGAGAGATCAAAGTAGACTTGCCATGGTCACATGACCAAGTCAGGTCAGAGATGAGCTTATGAACAGATTTTCTGGCTCCAATTGGACGTTTTATCTAGAACTCTAAATTAATGGATGTACTTCACTCCCATTGCAAGTTAAGCAGTAATTAATATACCTTGTGTAAAATTACACAGGGTACTAACTATTAATGTAAAATGAGGCACATTTTTAAAAATTTATTTATTCTAATTAGGGATATATGACAGCAGACTGCATTTTTGATTCATTGTACACAAAGGCAGCACAACTTTTCATTTTTCTGATTGTATGTGGTGTAGCATCGCACCATATGTGCAGTCATACATGTACCTAGGGCAACAATGTTCATAACATTCCACCATCTTTCCTGCCCCATGCCCTCTCACCACTCCCCTCCTTCTTGCCCAATCAAATTTCCTCCATTTTTTCCATGTTGCCCCATGCCGCCACAATTATGAATCAGCATCCACTTATCAGAGAGAAAATTTGGCCTTTGGTTGTTTTGGGATTGGCTTACTTCACTTAGCACGATATTCTCCAACTCCATCCATTTACCTGCAAATGTCATAATTTTGTTCTCTTTTAATGCTGAGTAATATTCCATTGTGTATATATACCACAGTTTCTTTATCCATTCATCTATTGAAGGTTATCTAGGTTGCTTTCACAGTCTAGCTGTTGTGAATTGAGCTGCTATAAACATTGATGTGGCTATGTTACTATAGTATGACGATTTTATGTCTTTTGGGTATAGACTGAGCGGGGGAATAGCTGGGTCAAATGGTGATTCCATTCCAAATTTTCTAAGGAATCTCCATACTGATTTCCAGAGTGGTTGCACCAATTTGCAGTCCCACCAGCAATGTATGAGTGTGCCTTTCCCCCCAACATGCTCGCCAACACTTATTGTTGTTTGTATCCTTGATAACTGCCATTCTGACTAGCATGAGATAAATCTTAAGAGTAGTTTTGGTTTCCGTTTCTCTAATTACTAGAGATGTCGAACAATTTTTCATATATCTGTTGATCAATTGTATATCTTCTTCTGAGAAGTGTCTGTTCCGCTCTTTAGCCCATTTATTAATTGGGTTGTTTGGGTTATTTTTGGTGTTAAGTTTTTGAATTCTTTATATATCCTGGAGATTAGTACTCTATCTAATGTATGTGTGGCAAAAATTTGTTTCCAAAATGTAGGCTCTCTCTTCACCTTATTGATTGTTTCTTTTGTTGAGAAGAATCTTTTTGGTTTGAATCTATATCATTTATTAATTTTTGATTTTATTTCTTATGTTTTAGGAGTTTTGTTAAGGAAGTCAAGGTCTAATTGAATGTGACAAAGATTTGGACCTACTTTTTCCTCTATTAGGTTCAGGGTCTCTGGTCTAATTCTGAGGTCCTTGATCTACTTTGAGTTGAGTTTTGTGCATGGTGAGAGATAGGGGTTTAGTTTCATTTTGCTGCGTATGGATTCCTGGTTCTTCCAGCACTATAAAATAAGGCAAATTTTGTAATAGTGACAAAAGCCCAATTTTTAGACGAGCAAGAATTTGGAAAAAAAATCACCAATAATTTCCAATTAGGACTATTTAGAATGCTACCATGTATTCATAAAAGCAGCTACTCCTAAAAGTACACACAATTTCAAAATGGTTACTTATGCAAAATATTGCCTCTGGACAACAGTAACAATGATTTCAATTAGTCCAAGTCTAGATTTATGTCTCAGAATTCTAACACCTAATGGGAACTTGGCATGTCTTTGCACTAAAGCTGCCAGATGAGAGTCAAAGCCTTCTTCTATCCTGAGTTCTATTGCTGGTGATGCATTGTAATCGTTTTTTTTTTTTTTTTT